TGGATTTCTGGCAGCCACCTTGTTTCATGCGATGTCTTGAGAAAGTAAACCACGCACTAAAACAGTGACATTGGAAGTTAAAAGGAGCCTGATTCTGACGACTGGAGCTCTCATTTAAACACTGGACCTTCTGCTTCAAATTTCTTTTACACGAGAAAAACGAAGAAATGAACTTGTAACTTGCTAAGAACCACTGTTACTATTTTTTTATTGTATATCACTCAGCCTAATTTTAAGTAATGCAGACCCTTTGAGATTGTATATATCCAGAGTCTTGACTGCAGAGGACAGAAAAAAAATAAAATTAAATGGGGGTAAGTGAAAAAGGAAATTTATTAGCCCTTATAATGGGGGAAGTCCAGCGTCTAATTCAGGCACAGCTGGATTGAGGGGCCCCATAGATGTCACTAAGACCTTGTTTTGGCTCCTCAGCTCTACTTTCCCTAGTGTGGTCTCTTCATAGGCACACAGCCCTGCCTCTCCACTCCATGCCTTTGCCCCACCCCCACCCCTCCCCCCACCCCAGCAGCTCCAGGCTTATCTGCTCCCAGATTGGCTCCCCAGCAGACAGACAGCTTCCTTCCCCCAAGAGGACCAGTAGGAATCCAGAACTGACTCCCATTGACCCAGACTGGGTCATATGCCTAACCCTGAACCAATCACCGAGGCCCCTCTCACGACACTGCCTGCTGGGGATGCAGCAGAGAAGGGACAGAGCCCTGATCTCAGGGGGACTGTTGTGGCCCCTTTCTCAGGGAGGCAGAGACCCAGCTGAGCTCACCCTGCCAGCCTCAGAGGGTACCAGGGCCCCAGATCAGGCCCAGGCCCTTCACCTCCATGGCAGAGCACCTCCCACCGCCACTCCTCGGGGGCCCAGGCAGTGGTGACTCCACTTTTGTGTCTCAATTTCCCCATCTGTGCAAAAGGGCCATCTGAGTGTCCCCTCGTAGGTAACCGACCATCCAGGAAAAGCGCTTGCACACAGTGCCTGAGCCAGGTCAGCACCGTAGATGTCGGCAGCTGTACTGACTATCCTCATTTACAATCATCGTCGGGGCATCCCATCTGCACAGACCACCGCCTGCCGCCTTCAGCTTGCTCCTGCCCTGCACTAAGTGCCCTGACTCTGGAAGTTCACTCTCCGGGGTTTACCACCATCCAGAGCCCTCAGTCCCGGCCCCCAAGGAGGATGTGTATGAGGCCTTGAGGCCGGTCCCAGAGGCTGCCACCAGCCGATAGCGACAGGAAATGGGTTGGCCGCGAGTGGCCCTCCAGATAACCCTGGCAGCACCCGCCACCCACTCCCGGCCCCCCACCAGCCCTTATCAACAGCAGCAAATGTCTTCTCGGAGCTGGGAGCCCCGTGGTGACCTTCATGACCCCTTGCCAGTATTTGCAAACTAAGACCCAGCCACAGGGAGAGAGGCAGGGGGCAGGGGCAGGTGCGAGGGGGCATCAGGGGTCCCTGGTGAGACAAGGAAAGCCTACCTGGCAGGATCTCACCTGACTTGACCCCGGGAACCCTGACCCTTCCCTGGGCAGAGGCTGGGGGCCTGGACCACAGAAAGGGGGAATTGGTAAATCTCAGAATCAAAGGGACTGAAACAGACCCAAGGCGATCCCATGGGGACCCAGGACAGCACAGTGTAGGTGGCTCCCAGTCTGCCTCAAGCCACCTGCCTGAATCAGGGTGAGTCATCTTGCTTCATAGCCAAAGGCTGACCACGTGGAGTTGTCAGTGGACCTGGGGTCAGACCCAGCCACCCAGCTTTGGGCAGGTGCTATGTTCCCCATGCATCATCTGCCCTGTTCCCTGCGGACACTGTGGCAGCTCTGGCCTCTGTCCACCCCTCCCCTTCCCTGGCCCCAGCTCCTCTCGTCTCAGATCTGCTCAGGACACTCCAGCCTGGATGGATGGTTCCAAAACTCCCGCTGGCGTCCTCCGCCAGAATCAAGTTCTAATGCCAGCAGGCCTCAGTTTCCCTGCTGTGCCTGGCACAACACTACATGTGGGGGACATACAGGGCACAAAGCAGATGCCCCCCTGGTGTCGGTGTTCCAATGGGGATGGGACAGGGACAGGTGAGGTTACACCTGACAGGGAACACAGTTCAGCTGTCTGGACTGAGACTGGGGCCAGAGGAGGCTGCCGGGACAAAGATGCGCTGAGAGCTGGAGGAGTTCAGCAGGTAAAAGCTGGAGGATTTGACAGCAAGTACAAAGGTCCTGTGGTGGGCTCTGCCCGGTGTGGGGGGGGGTCTCCCAGAACACCAGTGACAGCTTTGGCTTTTTCCTTGAGGATGGTGGGGAGCCACAGAGTGCTCTGAGCTGGGAAAGCAGGGAACCCCACTGATGTCAAACAGGGCCCTCTGGCTGCAAGATGCAGACCATGGACCGCCAGAGGACGGAAGCAGAAGCAGCGAAGGGGCCACGCAAGGGTCCAGGAGAGAGGAAGGTGATGCTGGACCAGGGCTGGAAGCAGAGGAGGGGGCAAGGAGTGGGCAGACAAGAGGCAGGCTTAGCAGGAGTTGCAAGCGAGGGTGAGGGAGGAGTTTTGAGGGACCAGAGGGAACCTGGCTCACCTACTGTGCAGGAGGTGAATGGGGGAGATGGCACAGACGTACACGCTCTGAAAGGTCCAGGAGGACAAGCATCCTGGTGCCTGGATAGTGGCTGCCCCAAAGTAGGCCAACCCTCAACCTCCGAGCTCTGCTCAGACTGGCCTCCCCACCAGGAGTACCCACCTCATTTCCCCAGATCACCAGGAGGAGCCCCTCCATCTAGCTGCCTTTGGTGCCTCCTCCTACCTGTGCAGTCCTCCCTCCCCCACCCCCCCCACCCCCCCCACCCCCCGTCCCCCAGGGCATCAGCTACACTGTGCTGAGCTCGCCAGGCACGGGCGTCTCTGCACTGTCCCCCCGCCCCGACCCACCCAGACTGTGCTCACAGCACGCTCACTGGTCTCTGCTGCCCCCTCAGCCCCGCCACCTCCTATGCTCACCTGCCACCCTGCCTCCCCTCACGAGCCTCTCCAGCCACCTGGGCCTCGGCGCCTGCTGTTCCTCTGCCTAGAACCCAGGCCTCCTCCTCCATCACCTGGTAATGCGTCCTGACCGGCAGGTGAAATCACTGCATTTGCATGTTTCCTGCGTCTCCCTCACTGCTTTGCATGCTTGCCGTGCATCCCTGCTAGATTCTAACCCCCCGGGCAGGACTGCGTGCTTTGCTCATGACTACTCCCAGGCCTCTGCATGTGACCTGGCACAGAACAATTTCTTGGAATGAATAAACGAGGGAACAATTGAGGGAATGAGCAAATGAACCTCCTTCTCCAGCCTTCACACTCCTTCCAGAAGGCCTCCATGATCTCCCGCCACTGACGGGGCTCCAGGTGGGTGGTGGAAGAGGTTGGGACTTCCCCGAGATGGGACCCCTTACTCACACACCCTAGACGTCTCTTCTCCACCCTGATTTGTGTCTGGCTGCCCGTGCCCCAAGGGTGGGTGGCCTGGATACCTGCTCCTCAGCTCTCTTAGCAGGTGCCACCCAGGTTCCGCCAGCAGCACCCAGCTTTCTCTTTCATGGGGCTCTGGTGGCGCCGTCAATAACAATACCCTCCCCAACCCCCTGGCCTCTGCCCCCAGGGCCCTGCTCCCAGCACAGAAGCAATGCTGAGCCTGGTCGCTGTGGGGGTCGGAGGCGCCCCCTTTGAAGGGGAAAAAACCACAGACCCACTTTTTCTTTAAAGAAAACAAGTTTTATTTTTTATAATCAGAACATTCTAATAAAAATATTATAATATTAGCTACCTTTACTTTCTGGGCTTTGACTCTGCACCAGGCGTGCAGCAAAGCCCACGTACGTTAGCCCCGAGGCCTCCCGCGTCCCTGAGGTAGGTCTGAAGGAGCACCCCAGTGCCCCCAGCCTTCCGGCCCGCCCGCCCCTCAACTCTCCCCTGCTCCTCCAGGGCGGGGCCCCATCGTGGTGTGGGTGAACCGCCGCCTCCTCTCCCCGAGCTCCCAAGGCAGCCAGACGTGTCTCAGCTCAAACCCGCAGGTTGTATACAGCAGGCGACACTATGGGGGTGGGGGGTGGGGTGGGGACCACCCTGTGCTCTGAGCCTCTATCCTGCCAGCCAGCCGGGATGAGGTGGTCCAGCCCCTCAGCCAGCACCCCCTTCACGGCCTCGGGGAGCGGGCAAAGCTTAAGAAAACTCACTGCCAAGATACCCACCCTGAGGAGCTCGGGCTGGCAGACACTTATCAGAAGACCACCACCACCATCTCTTCAGGCGGACGAGCCATCGACCAAAGTTGAGTCTCAAAGTCAAAAAAACAGGTTTTGGATTCTTGGCGATTGGAGTCTCCATTGAAAAAATAGACTGAAACTCTGAAATCATCTTAGTAGCAAAACGATAAGAAAAAGAGCCGCAGTGCTTTGATGGACCAAACGGACCATGGCTGGCTGCCCCAGTCGCAGGTCACCGGGGGCGCCCTGCTGCACCTGGGAGCCCTGGGGGGTGGGGGGGTGCCCCCAGGCGAACATTTAGATAATGGGAATTCTGGGGGTGGGAGAGCCCCCTACCTGCGGTTCACAGTCATGCAGATGGAGTGACAACAGTCAATGCACTTAGCCTGATCCTGGGCTTCCCTGGAGTAATAAGGCCTCTCTGAACGGGACCCAGAGGGCGGTCGGGGTTTATGGAGGGTCCAGAAGACCCGCTGGGTGCTGGAGGGACCGCCTGCGGGCTCTAAGGTGTGGGAGGGTGGGGATGGTGCATGTGCGACATTCAGGCTGATCTTCGATTAGCTTTCGGTCATTCAAGTCCTCTCTCAAGACATGATGTCCCAGGTGTAAAGATCAGTAGTCTCTGGGCCATCCAGGGTGCCGGCGGGATCCCGCGGGGCCCCCCGAGGTCCAGGGGTGGGTGTGCACCCCTGGACTCGGCCGGCACCCCCCAGCCCGCAGTGACGGGGCTGTGGTCGCAGGCAGGGACAGCCTCACTGCATCCGGTCAGGCTGCAGCTGCGGAGGCTGGTACTGCAGGAAGGTGGTGCCCGCGGGGGCCGCAGCTGAGAGGGCCTGGGGCACGGCGGCCGGGTAGCTGTAGCCCATGAAGCTGGCGGCTGTGGCGGGCGAGGCGGCGTATGGGTACTGGTCATAGGCGGCCGGCGGGTACTGGGCATAGGCCGGGCTGGCCGGCGTGTACTCGATGTAAGGCGAGGACAGCGGTGGGACCGGGGCGGCCGGGATCACCACGCTGGGCTGGACGATGGCTTGTGGGTAGATGTAGTGGGGGGTCAGCCTGCAGGGCCAAGCAGAGAGGGTCAGGGTCAGGGGACAGAGCAGGGAAACACAGCTGGCTCCAGGGTGGAGTGGATGAGCTGGGACCGCTGGGCGACGCTGTCTCACCCTCCTGTGTCTCCACTTACTCATCTGTAAAATGGGTGCAGTCTGAGCAATAAGGCTGCTCCCACCGCAGGGCTGTGGCACTGGCCATGCCTACAACTGCACAGTGACCCAGCACTCTCCCCAGCGATCCACAGGGCTCCCACCTCCCCTCTTCAAGTCTACACTCAAAATATCTCCTCAGCGAACCCCTTCAGGAACCCCCACTCAAACCACCCTACACCCCAAATACCATCCACTTCTGACAGCAACAACATGACCTGGGGGCCAGGGGGAGTTTAAAAATGATTAGCAATTTCAGCACCAGAGCATCAAACCCAGCACAGGGCCTTCTGAGCACAAGTCCCCGTGTGATCAGCCAGGCTCCAGGTCCACGAAGCCAGCCCTGTCCCCACCCCCACTTCCCTATTCATCTTCCAGCATCTTGCCATGCCCCCAAGTGACACCCACACGACTTACTTATTTTCCACAGCTGTCTCCCCCCACTAAAACGTCAGCCACCTATGGACTGACAACATAGACCTTGGCCCCCAGCACGGGCTCACTTGCTGAGGGAACAAAGACAATGATGAATCGAAATAGAACCAGATGCTGGGACTAAGAGCAGAGATGACGGCCAAGCCTCAGGGACAGGGCTCAGCAGCCCAGCGGCCACGTCTCACCTAAGACTAACTGGTGAACCTTGCCCTAGGGTGGCTCTCATAATTATCCCAGTTTACAACAGAAACACTGGGCTCGGAGGCACCCTGCCCATAGTACCAGAGTGTAGGGAACGGGATGTGGCCCCTGGGCATCAGTCTGAGAGCTGTGACTTGCACCTGGCACTCATCGCACCCGGCAGGCTGCCCACTGTGGGTGCTATGCGTGCCACACACCCAGTCCTCCACCACAGGGGTGATCCCACACACGGCCAAAGGGGAAAGTGAGGCTCAGGAAGGCGCTATCGGCAGGTGCCTGCTCTGCCAGCCAGCGCCGAGCTCCACAGCCAATCTGCAGCACTGCCCACGACGGGGGTGGGCGCAGAGCCACCAGAGGGGGCCATCAGCTCCTCGTCCTCCTCTCAGACCTGCTCGAGGTACACAGGACGGGGCCTCCACACCTGTAACACAGGCCCAGGAACCCCGTCCTGCCGCCCTTCCACTTGAAGAGAAGCTGCTTGGAAAGCAAAAGGGAAGACGTTCCCTCCTGGGAATCCCGCAGGTGGGGCAGCTGGAGGACTGCAAGTGGACACCAAGAGGGGCCGTGGCAGCCAGGTTCCCTCCCCTGCTGGGCCCCTCAGCATCCGGGAGCCCTTACTCCTGAACAAAGACGGGGCTCAGTGGATCCTGGCCGCCCCCTTGGGAACACGGAAAAAGCAGAGGAACACCAGTGTCATCCATCGGGACAAAGCAGTGCCCGAGGTCCCCCGGACCAACCCACAGGGCAGTGGGACAAAGTCCAAGCTCAACCTCAAGCCACTCCCTCTCCACGCGGCCAGGAGAGAAAACCAGGTCACAGAACAGACGTGCTGTTTATGCAAAACTGTTATATTTATACTGAACGGTGATAATGTTCGCTAAAAAAATCAGATGTGTGTTTATACCAGTGCTAAGGATGGGTGAGGTGGAATCGTATGAAACTGCCATTTCTACAGATCCAAAAAGTTGACTGACAGCAACTTTATGAGGCCCGATGTCTTGAATGCAAAGAAAAGGCCGGGAAGGGGGCTGTGGAGGGGGCAGGGGGATGGGCAGTTGGTGCGTGTGGGTCTGAGTATCTCCATGAGGCGAACGGACTCATGGGCACAGTTAAGAGATAAGAAGCACTATTTGAACCAGCCACAAAGGAGAAGCAACCCAAGCTCCCGTCCGAATGGGTTTCCAGACTGCGGTGTGTGTATGCCAAGGAATGTTATTCCGCCATAAAAAGGAGTAACATGCTGACACATACCACCACTGTGTTCATCCTCAAGGATGAACCTTGACGACATGACGCTGGGTGAAAGAAGCCAGAAGGGAAAGGCTCCGGACTGCACAATTCCACTCATGGAAACCTCCACAGAAGCTAGTCCAGAGAGAGAGTGGTCATAATGCAGACGCAAGCAGGAGAGGGGAGGCAGTGCTCTGGGGTCTCCTCCTGGGTGATGCAGAAGTTCTGAATCAGATGGTGGTGATGAACACACAACTCTGTGAAAATGTTTAATGCCCTGCAACGGCAGATTTTAGGTTATGCGTACATTTACCACAGGGCTTCGCTCGTGACTCAGCAGGAGAGAACCTGTCTGCCAATGCAGGAGACACCGGAGACGTGGGTTCGATTCCTGGGTCAAGAAGATTTCCCCTGAGGAGGATATGACAACCCACTCTAGTATTCTTGCCTGGAGAATCCCATGGACAGAGGAGTCCGGTGGGCTACAGTCCACAGGGTTGCAGAGTTGGACAGGACTGAGTGACGGAGCACTCCCTCACACCTTACCACAATAAAGGCACACACACGTAAGAAGCAATCCTGAGCCAGGGGTGAACACCCAGTGAGGGCAGAGCTGAGGTGGGGATGGGTACCACGGCCCTGTGGGCCCAGCAGCAAACGCCTCCCTAGGGGTAAGAGCCTGGGCACACCTGGCCAGTCCCAGAGGTGCCCCAGTTGCCCCCGGCCAGGAGGTTCTCACACTGAGGCCCCCCATCCCTGCTACGTGCCCTCCTAGGTGGCAGCACCCCTACGGCTGCCATGGCGACCCACTGCTGCTTGCCAGGAGGTCAGACAGCTTCCTGTAGGAACCTGCACACTGGCCCCAGGCCAAGCTCTCTCTCCCTTATTAGGGGCTTCTGCCGTCCACCCCCTCCTGCCTCTCTGGTGGGAACAAGAGCCCTGAACGGAGTAGGGCCTGGGTTCGAATTCCACCTCCGCCTCCCCAGGCTTCTCCTGTCTGTAGGTGTGCTCTGGGCAAGGACGCAGCAGCGAGAAGATTACATGGCCCCTGGCCTCCCAGGGGTCGGAATCCAGGAGGAGAGACACGCAAATATGCCGACCCGCGAACCAGTCGGGAGTGGTCAGGGGAGGCTTCTCGGAGGCGGCAGCTGCTCGGAGCCTGAGCTCCTGATCCATCTCCCCGCCTGGACCTCACATGAGTGGGTGGAGGCTCTCCTGGCACCTTGTCCAGGCCCCTGGATAGGGAAGGGGCTGGGCATTCGGTGCTGACACCAAGACAGAAGAGGGGCCGCACCAACAGTTCCATTTCTTGATATCTAGTCTGCCTACAGGAAATGACCTAAGTGTTTACACAGACGTATATGAGGACTTGAGAATCCACAGCAAACACGTCCCTTATTTAAAAGGGTATGTCATACGAAGCATATGAGTTGCCTTTTGGGTCTCAGTTTAATAACTTAACAATTTGATAATTTAATCAATTGGTAACAATGGAAACAGTGCCATCTATTTCACAAGATTGTGATAATTTCAAAAGCTATCATATATTTAAAAAAACAGGCAGAAGAAAAAAAAACAAGGAACTAATACCTGATCAACCTTCTGCGTATATTTCTTGGGTACCCACTATGTGACAAACACTTTCTTTTCACCTTCATGGAGCACTTTTATTTTCAGTCTAATTATTAAATTAAAAAAGAGGGGCCCCAGCCGTCCAGACCCCTCCCTAAACAGAAGCCAATGGAGACAAGACTGAGCAGGTCTCGGAGCAGTGCTCCGGACACTCCAGGACATTCCTGAGGGTGAGGCTCTGGAAGTTTTGAGCCCAGAACTTCTCCCAACACAGGCAGGGACACCCCTGCTTCAGAGAGCGGACAGCCAACTCTGATGGGGTCTTGGAACCTGCATCCGACAGGCCCCCGGGGACGCAGGTACACACTGCACTGCAGAAGTACCGCCCAGACCAGGCACAAGCTGTCGGCGCGGGAGATGTTCCCAGGGCGCTGAAATGGCAGGATTCTGGCCATGCCTGCCGCAAGGCTGCCGGCCAGGAAAGCCGGCATGTTCACCAGGTTTCCGACACTCAGCATCGTGGGGAGCATGGAGCTGCAGCATGCTCAGACATGGTGGGCGAGTAAGCTTCAGGTTGGGAGGAAAGGGGTTCCCGTCTCCTGGCCTGTGGGGACATTTTAAATCTGCATCTGTTCATCTGTGTCCCTCAAGCACCCTGTCCCACCCTTCACTCTGAAAAACCAAAGATAACATACAAAGCATTCCACAGCCAGAAAATAGGTGCTGATGTTGCCCCATTTCTCAGGAAAACTTAGGCTCCAAGAGGCCAAGGGACTGGCAGTCACACAGCCAGGAGACAAGAGCAGGGCTCTGCCGCTGCGCAAGCCCTGCCGAGCCAAGGGGGAGGAAGCTGTGAAGCTCCCCCCAAACAGGGGGCTGGGCCCCTCAGATCTGCATTCAAGTTACAGAGCTTCCACGAGCCTCAGTTTTCCCATCTGTAAAACGGGTCTGGCAGAAGCTGACCTCAGGGCTTGAGAGCAGAGACCCTCCACCCGACCAGCATTTCTCAGCCACAGTGACCACCCCAGGGGTCACTGAGCATAAATATGACATTCCTGTTTGTCACCTGGTGGGTAGGGAGTGGCACTGGCAGCCAGCGGTGGAGGCTGGGGACGCTTCTAACATGCCACAGTGCACAGGACAGTCCCCCCACAAAGAATCCTCTGGCATCATGCTGAGGCCAAGACCTGCTGTCAACTATACAAGGCAAAAGGTCGATACAAGGAGTCTTTACCACTGCTCAACCAGACACCCACAGCGAGGGCTGGGAAGCAGGCCAGGTGGGAACCAAGGGGCTGAGCTGGCACGTGAGCACAAACACGCAGGAATGAACACACACACACACACACATGCACCCACCAGAACCTCCAGTGAGAAGGAAAACCCAGCCAAACCAGCAGCTGGCCCCGTCGGAGC